AAAAATAAGTAATTCAGTCATTCAATAAGGAATGAAATGCAAGACTTAAGTGTGTGTGTGTGTGTGTGTGTGTGTGTGTGTGTGACTAGGAAGCGATTTTCATACCGATCGAGGAAATTAGCTTGCATTGGCATGCACAGCCGTCTAACAGATCGAGAAGGAAAATGGGGCAGGCAGATAGCCATGCAAAGAACGGCTAAAACCAAGGCACTTAAGGCAACCTCAAACCGTAGATCTCTAACCACCCCGCAGGAAGACAGCAACAGCCAATCAGTTAGCTGAAGATGACATAGAAAGCAAGCCCAGACAAATGGCAAAACAGACGCCTGACAACAGTTCCCTGACGCAACAGGATCACCCGATGTTCCAAGAGCTTTCCTGACATATGTATAATTAAGAGCAACCGAGGTAGGGGGGCACTCCCCTAAATGGAACCTGACGTGACCACTGAATCGCTGAAGCAACCCAGTGAGATGCAATTTGCCAAATGAAACTCACGCAAAACAAAATCTGGCCCTCTGGACAAGCCTAACTATGGCTGAATTCTAAAGTGTACTGCAAGTGATAAACGATGAGCAGGGCAGAGCAAGAACCTAGCTTATTGTCGTAATCGAATTGGTTCACCGATATTACTCCACTTGGTAAAAAAAAAATGCTATTGACTAATGGTTGTTGAACTATTTAGGTTGGGAGTAATATTAGTCATTTATAAACACGCTGAAAAACTCCTGTTCTCCAGCCGATATCCAAATCACATTTTGAGTTCATGACTGAATGCGATCCTTTTTTCGCGAGGAAGAGTGGAAGTCGAAAGTCAAGATCAGCACCAGCCAGAGGGGCACGCTCAGGCTCCAATTCCCTCGGGCGGAATGCAAAACTCAACAGTGGAGTGAAATGAAGCGTCAGCCTGCTCTTGATACTGCTTGATTTGAAAAAGAAAAAAAAAATGCGTATGGATGACTCACGCATCTTCTCTGATCCCCATTATGTCCCTGGGTGCTCTAGGATAAAGAGCAGAAGCACGTTGCAACTGTTGGTACCCACTTGGGTACAAAACTTGTTCGATGGTTGAAGGTAATAAGAGATTCTGCTTATCATTTATCATTTGACTACAGTCTAAATGGTCTCCTTCATACGCAACACCCTTTTTTGTAACGATGGAGATACCGTTTTATTTTATTAAGGAGTAACTAATTGGTTATGCCGTTTATATATTTTTTAAAAAATTAACGACCATTACTCTTTACTCCATAAGTGGTCAGCTTGAAAGCACACTGGCTTTACAATAAACACACTCTCACAGCTGATTTCTCCGTACTGACGCGTGTGTGGAACCCCCACCCAAACTCAAGAATACAGGAAGGCATCAAGAAAGGGAACAAGTTTCCATTTATTTGCCATCTAACCTGTCAGGCAAAGACAGGTGCCATGCTTACCTTTTTCTACATTTAAATGTGTCTTTCTAGAGCTTAACACCCCAGTGCCTTCAAGTGCAGCAGCTGAGAGAATTTTCTCTTTTGGGAGAGACTCTTCAGATTATAATTTTGAAAAACTAGATATTCTTAAATGTAACAATGCTCAGTTCAAAATATTTCAATAATTGATTCATAATTACCATTTCTCTTTTATTAATGATTGATGAAATAAAAAAGTTCCAAAGCACTTTTCCCGGTTACTATTGAATAACTTATTCGCCGCTAATGACCTTAACGGTTGACAAGGAAGATGATTTTAAATAATCAATCTTTGCACTTTAGAATATTTTTATCTACAAATTACTTCAGTAAAATCAATGGTAGATTTTTAAGCGTTCAAAAGGAAATATATTCTAAATCCTTTACTTTTTCTTTGCATTCAGTGGTAAGGAAAATGTATTACAATTTATTAACTGGGTGTATTGCACTGTGTACGAGGAATAAAGAATAAGAATGGGTATTGCCTCAATGTACTCAATTGTGTTGGAAAATTCTGGCCTTTACTTAACCACTATGCACAGCGCACAATAAAATAACCAACAAACACAAAAACTGCCCTTGCGTTTCAACTGTTGACTAACTTCACATTGTGCAGGATACGATCAGGGACAAACGGGGCTGCATCTAGACTATAGTGTACACTACAGGCACACAAGTTGTTACGTCCCCCGTAGATCTGAACAACCAATCTCACTTAAACCCTTGTACTGGAGACTGGAGACCGTGTGTTCCAGACTTCTCGGGACAAGGGTTCTCGGACATGGCAGCAGCTTAGAATTCGTAATAACAGTTTAGAGAGAAAGACCTGGTTCAATTATTAGGATTGTGATAATAATGATGATGGTGATAACAATAATGGTAATGATTATAATAATAATAGTAAGGGTAACAACGATAACGATAATGATGATAAAAGTAATAATAATCGTAATGGTGATAATGTATATTTATGCATATATACATATACATACGCATATGCATGTATATTCAAGTATACATATACACTTTTATTAATCATGTATATATATACACTTTTATTAATCATGTATATATATACACTTTTATTAATCATGTATATATATACACTTTTATTAATCATGTATATATATATATATATATATATATATATATATATATATATATATATATATATATACTTTTATTAATGCAAGCTATGTTTATATTGTTTTACACACACACACACATACATGTATATATGTATATATATATATATATATATATATATATATATATATATATATATATATATATATAAATATATATATATATATATATAAATATATATATATATATATATATATAAATATATATATATATATATATATATATATATATATATATATATATATATATGTATATATAAATATGTATGTTTACGTATATCTACAAATATATATGTATCTATTTATATATATGTATATATATATACGTATATCTATCGATCTATCTATCTATATATATATATACATACATATATATGAGTGTGTGTGTGTGTGTGTGTGTGTGTGTGTGTGTGTGTGTGTGTGTGTGTGTGTGTGTGTGTGTGTGTGTGTGTGCGTGTTGTGTGTGTGTAACAATATAAAGATAACTTATATGAGCAAAAGTTTGTACACATACATATAGACACAAATATATGTATATGTATATATATGTGTGTATATATATGTATATATATAATACACACACACACACACACACACACACACACACACACACATATATATATATATATATATATATATATATGTATGTATATATATATAGAGAGAGAGAGAGAGAGGGAGAGGGAGGGAGGGGGAGGGGGAGGGAGGGAGAGGGAGGGAGAGGGAGGGAGGGAGGGAGGGAGGGAGGGATGGAGGGAGGGAAGGAGGGAGGTAGGG